CAATGATCTTCTTGATAATCAATGGCTCTACGGTATTTCTAGTCCTACTTCTGAAACCATATCCGGGCCAACCAAGCCTTCCATCCCTCCGGGGTCGGTTAATTGGTACCAGACTTGTCTGGGAGGATAAAAACACTGACTTGAACATCGGCTGGCCCCCGCAAGTCATTGTATAGGCCACATCGCATTCAAACGCCACTACGTGAAAAGGCAGCCTAAACAGTAACAATTCAGAAAGTTTTAACAAAAAAAAAAAAATTTGAAGCTAGATATGCGTGCCGCATCCCAAAAGGATTGATCAGCGGCAAATCCCTTGTTCTTTTTTATACCTGAAACGTATGCTCGATCTGTGAAAGCCGACGATGTTGAAAAGGGGAAAGGAGTAGTTGGTAAAAGTAGGCAGCCTAAACGTGAGAAAACAGAACAATTCAGAAATTCGCATTTAAAGGTCCCAACTTTCTCTGAAAACTAAAGAAGCGCTCAGGGGGGCTCAGGCCGGGAACGTAACCAGTGAACTTTTGGAAAATGGGGTCTCAATTGGGGAAAAAATTTTTTTATCGTGAGTTTTTGAAAAAAACAGAAGTTTTCATCCTTTAAAATTCTGTCAGGACTTCTGATGAATATCGCCGAGGAATCCACTTTCGATTTATAGAATTGCGGCGAATCCACTTTCGATTTATAGAAAACGTTTGCCCCTCCCATATCTCAATAACACTCCTTAAGCGTTGTGGGTTCCTCGAAGTTGAAACCATTTGCCTGTAATGTGGTGTCCTTGTTATGAGTGCTGCTAAGAATGTATCTGAGTCATAATGTGAGATACGAGCCATGCAATTATCGAGGCTCTCATGATTTTTGCGGTCATTTCCAGGTGACAATATTTTTGTGCACTCTATTGCGGCTACTCCAACACCCCTTCTACAAGGTCTTTGTGATCACGTGAAGGCCAACAACCTAACGGGCATCAAGCTGCACCACCTGCTTCTTGGAGGGGAGACGCCATGGACTGCTCCTGAATTTAAAGGTGCGACCATCCATTTCTTCTCGCCTAGTCTGCTCATTCTGACTGCCTCTTCAGATCGAATCCGCTCCAATTCTCTTTTCACTGGCACTACTCTCCGAAGGGCTGTAAATGAAGGTAAGCTCACACATCTTCAAACCATGCCCGCCCACGTGGTGAAACTCGTCCCCTCGTAGGCGTCAACTTTTCGGCTCGTGGAACTCTAGTGTCTAAATTTGATGTTTTGGCATTTGAATCCCACGTTACCCACCCATTCTTTTGTCAATCACCTATGGGTCTTCTGAATTCAAGAATCGCGAAGAAAAGCGCAAAAACTGATGCCCAAAAATTGTCTTGTGTTAACTCAGGATCCTTTCACGGTATTTTTACAAAACTGTCTTCTTAAAAACGTTCCAATTAGGTGTTGCCGACTTCAACTCATGTTTTCTGCAGGAGGTTCCGATGCTCTTTCGCAGAGGCGTGATAAAGCTCGATGCCGCTTTGATTCACGTGAGTGAGACCTTTTTAAAAGAAGTTCTTGTCAAAAAATTGTGTCATTAATCAACTCGTAACCGTCTATAGACCGCTTATATGAGAATATTTTTCCTTTTTAGGTATCTGCTCCAGACGCAAAAGGCTACTGTACTTTGGGCACGTCGGTGGGTACTGCAAGAGCTGGCGTTGCGAACGCTGACCACATTATTGGTCAGTTAGTGAAGTTTAATATTGTTGAGTGTGCTTGCATAAGAATTTAAAAATTGAGCTTTAACTTCCAAAGGCGTAAAATTCAAGTTACTTACTCTACTTACGAGAGCCAAAGCGTTAGTGGCGTTTCCTTAGCCGCTCAAGCTCCCGGCTCGGCTCATTGGCTCTTATGTCCCTTTACAGTAGGCTTCCAAATTCTAAAATATCCGTTTAATAATGAATAGTATGCATTACATTCCCTTCTACCTTGCCCCTTTGCAAGATGTAAACTGTAAGCTCCTTTGAAAAGCGCTATAGTAGGCTCGCCAGAGAGAACCATGTATGCGTATATCCCTCAATCCCAGCAGCAGTTTTAGTCCGCTTTCCATCGAAATTGAACTGTTGGTCGCCTTATGGTTTGTAATAATACGCCTAGCACCTTGAATGAGCGATCAGTGGTGGATTTTAAGAGTTAAGGGAGTTATAGGAAAATATGGGTCGCCTGAGAAGATTGGAGAGGAAAAGCATTTCCTTCACATGTCATTTTTTGGACCAACTCTGGAGTGGTTGTCCTGTGAATGATTGAGGGAACTACACGTACTGTTACTCTACTCTAACGCACGCTACTAATTTTGTAGAGCTCCTCCGAGCTGGAACCCTTTTCCAACATTTCTGAATGAGGCACCTTCTTGCCGCGATTTCCTTCACATGACTTCGTCTCCTTCGCATAGCCAGCGATCGTTTCGTACCGGACCGTCACGGTAGAAAGGGGCGTTCGAAAAAAAAAAACTCCAAAAAATAACAGAAAAATCGAAAGAAAATAGAAAATCTAATAATAAATAAATAAACAAATAAATACATAAAAATCTCAAACACTACATGTCCCTTTACGTTCTCTTCTGGCTGGTGCACGGCTGTATGGTGTAAAGCTACTTACATATAGGGTTTTACTTGTTTATGTTGTGTTGTTAACACTGCTTTTTTTCTGTTTGCCGATGGCGCACCTAGAGTGCATGATAAATAAATAAATAAAAACACATTTATTTCACAGGCATGGTGAGCAAGAGCATGCCAAGAACATTTGGTGACGGTTTGATTCACTCGTCGCGCATCGACGTGCTCGTCGAGGAGCATTCCTCGTTTGCCATTCATGAAATGCCTACCGTAACTGTCAGCAAAGAGGAGGAGAAGATTGGGCAAATCATCGCTGAAAATTTGGTGGATAACGGTTCAACACTACAAACTGGTGGGTGGAGCCTTACGATATTTTTGTCCAACGTATAATGTATGCTATACGAAGTTTAGCATGGACGTAAACTTTCCGACAAAACCCCGAATTAGAATTTCGGGGTCGACAATAAAATCCAGTTGAGTGAAAAACGAAAAAGAGTAAAGACATATTGCGATGAAGCCCTACAAACACTATTCCTTCTTGAGAGGAAAGAGGGACACTCCCGAACGAGTTTTCCGGGCTTTCTACTCTATCGCTTCACTAACCCGAGATACCTGCATAGCGCTAGCGTATCCAAGTTGCATTGGGGCGATGAATTCGTCCATCGCTTCATATTTGCTCACTTTTTAGAGAGCCCGCCCTTTATAGCCAGTTTTGAGTCGCGACAGTACGACTCTTAATATCTGAATCAATCCTTATCCTAACCAACATAATGATAGATTTTTTCACAGCGAGCTCACTTGTGTGCTCGGAAAGCTTTTCCGTCAACAGCAGGGCACTGCAGGTTGGGTTTCTGAAACGCCCTAGTTTCGCGATGTGAATATAGTTGCCGTGTATAACAGCAATCCAGAAATTCACGCACTCTGAGCTTTCCTTTGAGTGATATTATTGCTTCAGGTTCGAGCCGTGCCAGATGCTGCCTGTGCAGCAATGAAGAATCACAAGGATCTCGGTTTGCACACGGAGATGTTCTCCGACGGTGTTCTGCAGCTTATCACCTCCAACGCCATGACCAATAAGAACAAGGTGATTATTTTTGAAGCAGCATTTCTGCGCAGGAGTGTTCAAATTCTGTCGCACATGCTTGAGACTTTAAATGGGGGGGGAGCTGCGATCCAACAGTACTAGCACGAACACCATATCCTAGCAGGCAACACAAATGCTACGGTGCAGTGAAACAAGACATTATAAACGTCCTTCGAACGGCGAAGATCGCATCAAGATACACCTTTCCTTTAAGCAACTGTGAAATGGGATAGTAACATGAGGATTTCAGCTCGTGCGTCCGGGTAAGCTGGTGACTTCGTTCGTCTTTGGCAGTAGGAAGCTGTATGACTACGTGAACAACAACCCACTGGTTGAGTTCTGCGACGTCCAATGGGTCAACGATCCAGCTGTCATCCGGCAAAACCCCAAAGTGGTCGCGATCAACGCAGCCGTCGAAATTGATCTCACTGGGCAAGGTGGGTAGGGCATAAACTTTTGTACGGCTCGATCTTCCAACTTTTGTGGGACAGGTATGGCAAAAAGCTCCCCTGATGATACCAGAATCCAACGGACTGTCTGAACGAATACCTTCACTAAGTGAACGCATTTTTTCAGTGGTTGCCGATTCGATCGGTAAGCAATTCCTGTCCGGTTTCGGTGGTCAAGTAGACTTTATTCGTGGAGCCGCCATCAGTGACGACGGCAAAGGCAAACCTATCATCGCCCTTCCGTCAATGTCGAAAAAGGGCCAAAGCAAAATTGTGCCCTACATACAAGAGGTTTATCGAGCTTACTTTGCTTGCCATTTCCCACTCCATTCTCAATCATATTTTTTACCGTTTAGGGAGCTGGCGTTGTAACCTCCCGATCTCATGTTCACTACGTTGTCACGGAGTACGGTATCGCTCAGCTGTGGGGTAAGAACATGCGGCAAAGAGCGTACGAACTCATCAGAATCGCTCATCCATCACAGCGTCAAGCGCTGGAAAAGGCAGCTTTTGAAAGGTTGAAGGTGAGGTTGAGCTGTTCTAACAAATGTCCTTACGTCCTGCTCTAGCATCATTAAATATTAGACTTCGGCGCCAGTTGAGTCACGATTTGGGGCATGTTTTCAAAAAGCCATACTTGTACTGTCCACCACATTGGTATAATTACTACAGGGGAATTTAAGGAAATTGAAGTGAGTGTTTAAAAACTATTCATGTTCAGGTGATGCCGTCCGCGGACTAGGTGGAGATGTCCCATTCTTTCTGATGGCTCCACAGAATTTGACTGGTTCTTCTGAACTCATCCTCATTATACGACCTCGGCGCTAGTCGAGCCATTACTTGGGGCATGTTTTCGAGAAGCCGAACCTGTACTGCCATCTATTTATTTCCCCAACAGGATTTCAAGAAAATTTAATTGGGTGTTTTAAAA